ATTCAATCACTAAATTTTATCCCAAGGGATCCATGTCACTATTTTTTTATAAGACCCAACAACCATCACAATAGTCCAATAGAATCTTGAGATGGGTCCAATAGCATTCAAAAGGAGATCCAATAAAACGGATAATAGTCAGGTAGCATTTAAATGAGTTTAATAATATTATGGACCGTCATACAATATTAAGTCCATAATGGCGGTATTAAATACTACGATAAAAAAATAATAGTGCGTAGTATTAAATACTCCGTAAATTTTAATATCCACAACACTATTTGTATGTCCCACATGACATCTTTCCGATCATAATCAGCTTCGGAATCAGGTTTGTTTGCAAACACTTAAATAAAGTGCTTGTGGTTTTTTTAAGAAAAAAACACTTATTTTAACAAATACTACCAACTTTTACTTTCTCGATTTTCGTGTCGAATCTATTTTTTACTTTTTCTATTACACAAAAAACACTTATTTTACCAAACACTACAAACTTTTACTACTAATCACTTTTTCCCAAAAAGTGCTTATATTTAAACACAAGCACTCGCAAACAAAGCCTCAATCAATCATCCCAGTTTTGGTTGAGTTTTTATATGAGACCGGGAAGGAGTATATGATTACTTCACCGAGTACATCACACGGCCACACCCGTCGCTCTCATCATCATCAGCTCAAATCAAAATAAAATTTTATTAAAATTTCAACTCCAAGAATGATGGTGAATTCCTTTAACCTTTTTGACAAAAAAAAAAACAGAATAGGCAGGTCGATGATATTTTAAGGCTTTGTTGGCTTATGCATAGTATATATACAAAGGATCGGATCGGACCAATATGTTTTACTAGCTGCATATATAGTAATTACTCGTTCTCCTCCAGTACCGTTTCTATCGAGTCTGTCTGCCGATCCGTAAGGCAAGGAATGCAGCAGCACCATGGCTGACTCCTATGAGGGTTATGAGCCCACCTGCTTAGGCTGCCTCTTTGGCATCCCCTCCTTTCTTCTCGCTCTCCCGTTCACGCCAATAGGCCTCCTTGTAGGTTGCTTTGGGTACGTACATAATTTTTTAGGAGAATCAAGAATGGTGCTAGACTTGAAGATGAACATGCTCAAATAATTCATCAAAAAATTCCACCGGGAAGGAGCTCTGATGGCTTCGGCCAAATGGCGAGTCCTGTCAGGCCGGACTGATAGGATCACTACTCAAGAGAATGATATGATTATGTTAGGCCGGCCTAAAATCATCTTGTGTGCGATCGCCTTCATTTGAGGTGTTTATCGGTGGAATTTTTTTATTTAATTTTGTTAGTATATTCTTCATTAAATGCATATTATGTTCATAAAATCTCAGTTTAAAACTCAATCAAGAAATTAGTTAAATATATTAATAAAAAACACTGTATTTTATAACTACGTAGTATATCTTAGCTCACTATTTTAAACTGAAATTTTATTGACATAATCTTTACTTTATGAAGAACATACTTACAAAATTTTACGAGTATCAAATTACCCCCGAATTGCACCTCAAATGGAGGCGGTGCGCACGGCGTATCCTTACAGGCGATAGCATGACACCATCACTCTCCTACATTAAAGTTTCGTTACAATTTTACATGATTATTTTTGTGTAATCATTTTTTGTTTATGTGGTGTGGGGACCTGTAAACATTATGAATTTTCTAAATATTGTAATATTATTTTAAAAGAGTTCTATATTTTTTGATAGAGTAAAATGCATAACTAGTCCCTAAACTATCGATCAATCACATATCATTTTGGTCCTCGAACTAATAAATCTATCATTTCAGTCCCTAATCTATGTAATTCATATTAGTTCGGTCCTTCTATCTATATTTTGACATTAAACTAACGGAATGTAATTATTTAGTGCATGTATGTGTAAATCAAAATGCTTATAAGACAAAATATAACTTATAAAAATCTGATTTAATATCTAAATAAATTAAATTAGAATGAAAACTACTATCAAATCATAATATAACGCGTTAAGACATACTATCGTAATATACTATATCCGTTTTCTTTTAAATGCAACATTGGACTTTTTGCACTATTCATATGTTCTACTTTGACTCTATTTTATTTAATACAGAGTAATGTATTATAAAATAAATTTAAAAAAAGTGTTAAATTCCTCTGATTTTCAAATTTCAAAATCTATTTTTTTATTTTTTTTACTAATATTTGTATAGTTCTCAAAATTTGTCAACACAAAAGTTTCACGTTTGCCAATACACAACTTTGACCATTAATATCTTTAATTCCTTCTTAACAAAAAATTAAAGAAAAATTGGAAAAATTAAAATGAGAGGAATTTAACATTTTTTTAAATTTAATTTATAATACATTACCTCGTATTAAATAAAATAGAGTCAAAGTAGAACATGTGAATAATGCAATAAGTCCAATGTTGCATTTAAAAGAGACCGAAAGTATTATATTATGTTATAACTTTATACAACGCGTTGTATTATGATTTGATAGTAGTTTTCATTCTAATTTATTTATATAGATATTAAATCAGAATTTTATAAGTTATGTTTTGTCTTATAAGTATGTTGATTTACATGCACTAACTAAGCACATTCCGTTAGTTTAACGTCAAAATATGGAGAGAAGGACTGAATTAATATGAATTACATAGATTAGGGACTAAAATGATATATTTGTTAGTTCAGGGGCCAAAATGATACGATGACGATAGTTTAGGGACTAGTTATGCATTTTACTCTTTTTGATAATTCTGAAAAAAATTCAAGGTTACCCCGAGCAAGGCGACCTAATGGAAGACTACAATTATCACCATCAGTTATGTGGTTAGACCCGTTTGTTGTGCGCCGGGCCAGATCCATTTGAATAGAATATTTAGCAAAAGCTTGACCCAAACCCATTTTTGTGGAGGGCAGTCTAAATTTCAGTCCGGAGTTCAGTACGGTTATCCGATTTGGGCCGGATTATGTCACCATAGGCTCCTATATTGTATCGTGTTTATGTGGGATTAATTTTTGTGGATTAATTTTATGTGGGATTCTAAAAAAGTTGGAAATTACATTAATTATTTTTTGTCTTACATTAACTCAATCAGCGGTGATTCTTAGGATGTTTTTGCCTGTACTGGAATTTTCTAGTCTGATATATTTTTGTTTAAGTCTAATCTGATATAGGACTGAAAACAATCCAAATAAAAGCATCCTAATTGTTTTAGTTATTTTTGAAATTTTGTTGGATGGTGTAGGTGGTCGGGTGCCAAGTGTTGTTGCGATTGCTGTGAAGGTTGGTTCAAGGAAGTCGCGAAGTCTGGCAGTTCTTGTGCGGGCTTGCCATGCAAAATCCTTGTGTGGATCGAGAAAAGGCTGTCAAAATGAAGTCCGAAATGGTGTCTTTTTTGAGTTTATTTCCATGCGTCAAGTTGGAACTCGAGACTTACCCCTTTGTGGTATTCGTATCTATCTGTTGAGCAATGTCCACCCGCATTATATACCTGTTGGAAATATGATAATAATAATAATAATAATAATAATAATAATAATAATAATAATAATAATAATAATAATAATTTTGAGTGGTCTCATTTTTGGGCCCTAAGATATATGTGTAATATAATTTGTAATGGGAGTTACTTATTATCAAAGTACAACTTTCATACTTGGATTTATTTCATTTATTGATTGAAATCCATAGTTGTAAAGTGAAATATTAATTAAAATAGTGAATTGTTGTCTTATAAATAGATAGATGGTCTATTAATAAAATATTATGTGATAAGGAAAATCATTCAAGTATCACGTAAGGTAGCTTGAAATATTATTCCATACGCTCAGGCCCACTCGGGATGATGTAAAAGTGTATGAGAAAATGTGTCAAGTTAAAAGACCATTTAATTTGTGGACAACAATTTTGAAATGTTTTATGAAAAATTCCATGTATATTAGTATTGAAACACGGTTGGACAAAAATATTACCACCCATTTAATATAAATGGAGATTTTTACACATATATTACCATTAATATTATGGGTTACAAAAAAGTGACCAATGATAGGAAACACGTTCTGCAATGTGAGAGTAAGTTAAGGCAAGAAGTTATAGTTTTGTTAGTTGAGTTTAAAATGGTTATATTTGTGTAATTTTTTCCTAATAGAGATTTTTACACATATATTACTATTAATATTATGGGTTACAAAAAAGTGACCAATGATAGGAAACACGTTCTGCAACGTGAGAGTGAGATTTTTACACATATATTACCATTAATATTATGGGTTACAAAAAAGTGACCAATGATAGGAAACACGTTCTGCAACGTGAGAGTAAGTTAAGGCAAGAAGTTATAGTTTTGTTAGTTGAGTTTAAAATGGTTATATTTGTGTAATTTTTTCCTAAAATAAATAGTCCGGTAATAATTAAAATAAAAACTTCCACCTGGACATTTGAATTGCACCGAAGGACTACATGCATTGGAAGCTTTTTATACGTTTTAATGTAACGTCATTTCACTGTGTAAAATTTAGATAGAAAGGCCTATTGTTTACACTACAAGAAAAAACGTTTTTTGCGTCAACAAAAAGTCGACGCAAAAGAGCCAAAGTTGACGCAAAAAACGTATTTGCGTCAACATGTCGACGCAAAAGGGTTGACGCAAAAGCCTGGACGCAAATAATGTTTTTGCGTCGACAATGCGTGACGCAATTAATAAAATATTATTCGCGTCGACATATGGACGGAAAAGATCTTCCGGAAGTAATCATACATAATGTTGACGCAAAAAAGTGAGGATTTATTTGCGTCCAAAAGTCGACGCAAATAATACCATTTTTTGCGTCCACATGTCGACGCCAAAGCTTAACAGTCAGTTTTTTTAAAATACATTATTTGCGTCGACATTGTGACGCAAATAGCACTGTACAGGTCTGAAATTACACCACATTACCTATTGCTATTCATACAAAACTTTTATTAATAAACCAATAGTACCACAATCTGTCCAAACACAACCAATGTCAACAACACATAAATTCATTCAATATCCATAGTAAAAGTGAGTTATCCTACAACGGAGTTTCATTAAATCGTTACCAACAACATCACAAAATGTAAACATAAATAAATTCATGTTCATCTTAACCAAGTAAAAAGCATATTCAACTCCATGTTATCAATCTTGATCATCTTCATCGAGATTCTGATAAGGTTGGTTAGCACTTGATGTAGAAGGAACATCATTTGCGGAGCTGTGTGAAGGAAGTTGAAAGCCAGGAATAAATTGTTGTAGGGCACGAAGCATCAACTCCTGATTTGCTTGCATCAACTCTTGATTTGCCTTCAATTCACTTATTTGAACATCCCGGTGGTCTTGGAACGTTGAAGTAGCGCCATCTTCCACTCGTCGAGATGCACCCTTTGATAGGGTAGGACCCACTCCGCTTTGGCGTCCGCGATATCTTCTCAAGTTCCGATGCATAATATCAATCTCATTTATTGAAGATGATGACCCTGTTTGTCCTAGCTGTGTTTGGTACTCTTCACTCATTTGAGTCTATCAAATTACAATTCATATAGTTACCCCTTTGATGCCATGTCATTTCTTTGGAGGTGTGTCGTGAAACAAATAATCGTCTCAATCTATCCTTCAATGGAAAATAACGGAGAACTTTCCATGGAACGTTTTTCCCCCTCTCATTTTTCCACCGACTCGTGTTGCAAATTGGACATGTTTGCAAATCAGCATTACTCTTCCAGAACAAAGCACAATCATACTTACACACATGAATCTTTTCGTAGCCAAGTCCCAATTTGCTCAACTTTTTCTTTGACTCGTAATGAGAAGTTGGTAACTTATTACCATCAGGGAGTACATCTTTTAGCAACTTTAGCACTGAGTCCATGCACTCATTTGGCCACTTATAGAGTACTTTCAAGTGCATAAGTTTTACTAAAAAAATTAGCGAAGAAACCTTAGTGCACCCCGGATACAACTCCGCATGAAGCTCAGATAATAGATCCTCAAATTGAGTAGGCATTTCATCACCCATATTATATGTGGTATCACCTCTTATGCCATGGTCGCTAGTTTCTCTTGCAATGTCATTCAATACTGCAGCCATTTCATCCTCTGCCTCATCTTCTACATTTGAATTCAGAAATGGTGGTATCTCAGGTGGCTCACCATGAAAAACCCAATGTGAATATGTCACATCAAACCCAGATTCAAAGATATGTCGCTTAACGTCTTTCAATGGAAGCATTTTTCCATTCAAACATCGTTTACAAGGACAACTTATATTTCCTTCTTTATTCACAAAGTCTTTTGCATAGTTTATAAAACCTTGTAAACCCTTCCAATACTCTTCCGATAATCGATTCTTTATATATATCCAACTCTTATCTATCGGCATCCTCACCTCAAAGAGAACAACTTCAAAACTCTATCAATACATTTATCATACAAGGATTAGTGAATGAGTTTAGTTTATAAAATGAAATGAAAACACTCCTTAAATGTCAATGATTTATAGTTATTTGAAAGTTAGAATTAATATAATACGTATTTATTCTCAAAGTAAATCTTTTTTACTCCTATTTAGCAATAAAGGGCTAGTTTTACTTTTACTTAATGTTGCCCTTTCACATAGAAGCAGTTGATTTAATCTCATTAAACATTATGTATTTTTTACTTGGTTGGAAAAAAATCTGCAAAAAGAACTACAGAACACAAAAAATAACTTCAACCTCATTCAAAATATAGCTAAACAAAACAAACTAACAAGTAATTGAAAAAAACAGCCGTAAAGACTGCAAAGAAATCTGTAAAAAAAACATATCAAGACCAACAAAATGCTGCCCAAACAAAAATTAACTTGAAAGTTCTTTCAACCTTTCCAAAGTCCAAAATTACTTAATTTTTAAGCTGAGGCTATGAGATGAATAAAACAACTTGAGGTTTTTAATTAAATTACAACGTAATAGATTCTAAAAAACTAAAATGATCTCAATCACTATCATGAATACTACTCCATTTAGAAAAAAGAAAATAAGTTAAGTAAGCAAAAGCAATACCAAACCCCAAGTCATGCAAGTTTAAAATCTGCAATTTACTAGGAAACTTAGAGTATTAATAGACAAAACAAAATAAAAAATAAAAAAGTAGAACTGGAGCATATTGAGAAATTATATTCACATACTGAAAGCAATAGTGGGAGCTGAATTTACCCACATTAGGATTCCAGTGCATTAATAACACAAAAAAAAAACAGAGAAATGAATAGTAGGAGTTGTCTAACTAGTTGAAAATTCACATAAGTATACATAAGTCAATTTACATAAGTACACTTTCTTTAAGCTGACAGAGAGGATCATAGAAATGAATAAAATGACCAGAATGTTACAATGAAAACAAGAGCAATTTGAAAGTCAAACAATCTTTTAAATTTCAAAAGGGGTTAGAAAGAGGTTAGATAAGAGAAGGATGTAATTATTTGTTTTAAAGTAACACCCACTTACCCAGCCCGCACTTTAGAAAGTGTAAAAAGTTTGATGATGAGCTGGGAAAGTTTTGAAAGATAGATGAATAATTGGAATAGGTTAATAGCATAGCACACTTAAAACCTGGTAAGTTAAGGCTTAAGACAATGACACATAAATAGGTACTTTTGATTTTGCAAAGAAGCTAAAGAGGGAGCAGACAATTCAAGTTTTTACTTTCATCGTCTCATTAATTTACAAACAGTGATGAAAAGTGGGAAAATAAAAACATGATAGGTTGGGACGTAAGTCTTCATGAAATGAGTGATGAATGACTATGGCATTTAATTGGATGTACCAAATATTTATCCATGTAAACACTTTACACCATAAAATTGTCAAACTCAAATTATAAAGACAAAACAAGTAAAAATATGATGATTAAATCTGAAAATATAAACAGAGTGAGAGGTTACCTGGGGGTTGATTCTTTGTTATGCATAAACAGAGAGTGAGAGATTACACCCAAAGATTTTTTTTAGCATCCTCAATCACTAATTATTGGCAAAGAAAGATAAACCAAAGCACCACTCTTGCACCTTAAGAAATAACACAAACACCTGTGGATTGGAATGTGTCTTAAGATTAGACCACACATTTCAAACTCTGGCAGAACTAAATTGGTATGATGCACAGATATGGAAAATGTAAAACCTATGGCATAGACATATGTGAGATGTTATGAGATATATATAGCTCTAAAGCTTAGAAGCTAAAGTGCAGATATATCACATTATAAGAGGCAACAATGTCACCTTGAAATTTCAGCACACGCAGGACAGTCTATCTCCCTTTGTAGAGGAACCTGCTGCACAGTTTAATCATAATAATGTTGACAATAATCACAGCAGTTACTTGTACATACATATACTTTGTAAGTAGTTATTCATTTTTTACTTAGTTTTTTCATTTCAAATTATCTAATACTTGACCATAGATGCAATTTAAGTTTTAAAAAACTCCATAATCTATTTTAAAGGAGGGTGGAGTGCATGTTACTTAAAAAACTCCATAAAAACGGCATTCATTGAGTTTGAATGGGTTTTATACTACGTATTTCAGATCTAAAAAAGACAAAATATAAAATTAGGGCAAAATTCCATGAATGGATGAATATAAATAGATTGATTGTGTGAAATACCATTCGATTTCGTCATTCTCGAAAAAGTATATGGCAGATTTGTATTTCCTATTGTTTGGGAAAATGGAAGAAAACGACTGTTCATCGGTGTTCTAAGTCAAACCCATTAGTGTATATACCAGCTCTTAGGAAGGAGGAAGACCATTACCTGAGAATCGTAGGGAGCTGAGAAGAACTCTTCCGGCCAGCTCTCAGGAAGGAGGAAGACCGTGTAGTTGTTTTGTCCTGCCCTAACCGATAGAGAGTGTATTAGCCCTAAGTCACCAGCCGGCCAGTTCTTTAAGTGTATTTCAGTATTAGCGTCAACCCGTAGACGCTATAGTCTACTCGTTTTTATATTTTTTTTAACATTTCGTTGTTGCGTCAACTCCATCGACGCTAATATTATTAAAAATACCGGGATTCCGTTTTAGCTACAACGTGTTGACGCAAATGGTTAAAATTTGGAACTTCCAACCGGTTAAATATTTGGGTTCTTTTCCGTCCACATGTCGACGCAAAAAGAGTGTCTTTTGTGTCCACTGATGTCGACGCTAATAATTTGGACGCTAATGATACTTTTTGTTGTAGTGTTAATTGACATTTGGCACACTTTATTAGGACTGGAAGCTCGAGCATTGTGGATGCTCTAAGTGGCCAATTCGGTTGGCCATTTTACTAACCAAAGCTTATACATCTAGCACTATATTTGGTAAATAAATTTACCTCAACACCAATTTCATAAATAATTTTTTATTTTCGAAAAAAAACTCTTTCGACGGAACGGGTAGTACATGATACATCCTCTGTTCCAATTTGTTTTGCAAATTTTTGGATCAACCAATAATAAAAATCAATCCTCTCTAAATATTAATAATTCAATTTTAGAAAAGAGTCATATAGGCCCTTCTATTGTTATCAGAATGTCAATTAAGTACTCGAATGCAAAAAACACTCAATTAAACACCTTAACTATTACGGAGTAAAAAACTTTCAAATAAGTCTTTTATCATGCAATGAACCAGTTACCAAATAAATATTCACATGTGGTGACAAGTGGCGAAATTTCCTTTTTTCTTTTACTTTTTTCTTTCTTCCTCCCTGGTTCGCCCGTCGCCCTCCGAGTTCTCTGCTACAGGCTGCCCAAGGGCATATTGATTAAATTTCTTTATTGCTTAATTTTTGGATTAAATTTGTTGAAAGTTTCATTTCTGAAGCTACTAATTCACATCAACTAGATAAAAGAATATAAAAATATTCTTAAGTTCCTTTAGCAGTGAAAGGACCAGGACCAACCCTCCCAATCCAAAACCTTCATCTTTTCGAAACTCTCCAGGACACTTCCCCATGATCATTTCAGACTCTAGACCTTACTGAAAGTACTCCTTTGAAATTTCTACTCCTTGATGTTCCAAGAAATAACAAATTAAAAACACCCAAATCAATTACAAAAACCACTAAATTAAATCAGGGGTGCTCAATTGGCTAAGGAAAGAAGATAGAGTGGGGCGACCAATCTGTCGGATCAAATTTACATATTCATAAACCACATTAAAATCTTTTCAAAATTGTAAACTTCAAATTAAAATATAATTAAAAATTAACAACCTAATTTAATGATCAAAATGAAATTAAACTGTTTGATCAAGAAAAGTCAAATTTGCAAATCAATTTAGTGATCAAGTTCTTGTCTGCGTCAATACATGCATCACATAAAGTCATAAACATGACTCTCTAAATAATAATCCAGCTCAAATCAAAATAAAACTTTGCAAAATTTTCAACTCCCAAAATGATGGTGAATTGCTTTAACCTTTTTGACTAAAAAAACACGCAGGTCGATGACCTTTGAAGACTTTGTCTTATGCACTTACATAAAAAAAAACACGCAGGTCGATAACCTTTTCTTGTCTTCGAAGACTTTGTCTTATGCACTTACATGTTTTTAGTTGGGACTATTCTCAATCTTACACAGAGACTAGACGTTTACCTGACCAGACTGAACAAATTCAGATTAGATTCAAACAAATCAGACTAGACTTAAAGAGTAAATTATGGACCAAGTAAAAACATCATTACGGAGTAGTATATATACAAGGATCGGATGGGGCCAATATATATGTTTTACTAGCAGTATAGTAATAGTAATTACTCGTTCGATACATAAGGCCGGCAACGAATTGAAAGCAGCAGCACCGGCCATGGGTGCCTGTAGCTCCCGTGATGATTTTAAATGCGACTGCGAAGTCTGCATCTGTGGCGTTCCCCCCTGTTTTCTCTCTCTCCCCGTCATGCTAATAGGCCTCGTTGTAAGTTGCATTGGGTACGTACATAATAATTTCTTAATTAGGAGAATCAACAATTAATGCTCCCAGACCCGAGTTTCACTAGATTTTACATGATTATTTAATTATTTAATTAATTTATTTTTGTGTAATCATTCTTTGTGTATGTCGTGGGGGGCCTACAAACATAATGAATTTTTAAAATATTGGAATATTATTTTAAAAGTGTTCTAAATTTTGTGATAATACTGAAAAAAAAGTTCAAGCTTACCTCGAAGGGCGACTACCGATATGTGGTGGTTAGACCATTTGTAGTGGTCAAGAGTCCAAATTGTTTAATTTGGACTCCGTCCATATAAAAACAGTGTTTAGACTCCGTCAATACCAGTTTTCCCCGCATCCGTGCACCGTCTATAAAGTACACTCTGCTTATTTTTTACATATCAATTTATTAAAACATTAATTAAATTATTATGATCAATATTTTCGTTTTGAATTTTTCCCTGGATACTAATGAAATAAAAATTACACATTTCAAAGTAAAAAAAGAAAAATCACTATTTTTTAAATGGCTTTTGGTTAACAAAAAATGAACTTAGTTCAAATAAAATTTGATTATGGAATATTCAGTTAGTATTTGTGAAAGCTCAGGGAATTAAAAAATTGTATTTCGTATTTTTTTGGGTTCAAGAAAACTTGAACAGTTAATACTTCAAAAACAAAATTCATTTTATATTAGTACATATTGGTGTCATATGAAAGATCATAAAAATTCATGAATTTTGATATATTTTGTGAAAAATTTAGAGAACAAATAAAAAAGTTATAAGAGTTTAAAATTAATTGGGGATTTAATGACATCATCGTGACATCAGCAGAATACATGAACAACCCGCGGGGAAGCAGCCACTTCCTCTTCTTCTTCCTTTTTCCCTGTCAATCCAACCTTCTACTTTTAGACTCCTCCACTCCCCTTCCCACTTTTACTCCCACTTTTAATCTACCACTACATCCAAGTAAGAGTCTAAAAGTTCCATTTTTAATCTTTAGACTCCTAATCTTCAACCACTACAAATGGTCTTAGAGCCTTTTGTTGCGATCCGTCGGTTCGAATGGGTCAGAATATTTAGAAAACTGGGTCCTTTGTACAGCCGGTCTAAAGTTTGGTCCGGTTGTCCATCTGGGCCGGATTATGTCACCATAGGCTCCTACATACTAGTATATCACTGTCTTAAATAGCCGGCCGCTACGGGCTACGGCTACCAAGGTCGCTATATAGTGCATGTTTGGTAGTCATAAGTTTCTGTCTTTTAACTTTTGTACTATTTAAAAAGTCTCTAAAAGCTTTTAGTTGTATGTTTGACATGACACATTTTAAAAGCTTTTCAAAATAAAAGATCTTTTTTGAGATGCTACGGGGAGTAGCATCTGAGAAGACCGTGACTTTTAGTATTAAGTTATCCTAACAGCTTGTATACCAAACAGAACTAAATCAAACAGTCGGCTTTTTACCAAACAACTGTGACCTTTTATTTTTAAGATCTTTTCAGTTACTAAAAGCTAACAGTTACTAAAAAGCTCACAAAAGTATCCTTTCAGCTAGTCGTGCCAAACATACCCATAGCCGTCAAGGTAGGTACCACTACGGGCGGCTATCAAGGTGTGATTTTCAAATCACAGAAAAATCTCGCTAAGCCGCCCGCTACCGGCACTTTCGGCAGTACATCACGAACTGGTTGATGTGTAAATGTGTAAATTTTGTGTGCATGATGTGAAATACATTAGGGTGATGGATGGAGTAAAACTTTAAATTAAATGTACATGTATCCACATACATTATGAGATCAAAATACCAAATATTAATAAATATTTAAATTTTAATTGTTAAACGAAATTAATTATTACTCTGTAATAAGGATGATTTAACTTTAATATAGGTTGACGAAAAAATATTGACTTAACAAAACAATTTAGAACGAAAGTGGTATTATTATGGATTATGCAAGTTGGAATGCATCGTCCACTTCTTAAAAGTTGATTGTGAAAGGACAACAATTTTCACATAAGTAATATATTTTCGGGACGGAGGAGTACATCTTTTTATTGAAAATTATTTATAATATACAAATGAAATAGTAATGTTCTTTGTTAAAAGTATTTTCTTAAAAGTATAAAATTTATAACTTTTTTAAAATTTATAACTTTTATAATGTTATATTAATAAAAATCATGATCCAAATTTTATGAAATGACATAATTATTTAGAAAATATTTCACGTCACTGC